TTTGCTCTTCTAGCTTGTGTGATCCTTGTCGATTTGGAGAGATACATTTGGCTTGGTGCTGTTAATGCACGGATCAAAAAATGTCTGTATACACTGTGAGCTGGATTTTCCAGTCTGCCATGATCAACTTCTGTTGAAGACATTAATGTGGATCAAAGTAAAGCTCTTGTGGACAGAGACCCACAGGAGAATTCTCGCTGTAGAGAAACCATTCCCACTCTCCTAAATCTGGCAGACATGGCAGTATCTCCTACACCAGCTTTCCCTCTCCAGCAGGGTATGCAGGAAGGACTCAGTGCTGAGAAGCTCCCTATATTGATAAAAGTTCCTGAGATTATCTGTGCTGGACATGTAAGGAAGAACTGTCTTTCTGCTGACCTAATTTGGGGGTGGGAGGGCTGGATTGCTGAAATCAGTCATTCTTCTAATTGCTCCCTTTTGCTCCTGAACTCACACAGAACTCAGCACACACAACAATAGAGCATTAAGAATATTTAATGTCTACTCTGTAAAGACAAGATAAGTTTTGAAACAGCAGTCGAGGATACAATATGCACTGCACAGCAAGTAAAAGAGTGAACATCACTTGACCAGCAAGTATTGGATGCAACGACAAGATGTAGAATACTTTTTTCCATCGGAAACTCCAGGCAGTTGAAGCACCGTATACAAAATCAACTGTTCCCCATATCTGCACCTGCTGAATGCTAGTGTGAGTTTGAACTGCTTGTAAACTTTCAGACGTGCTAGGCAATCTAGCCACTGATTCCATAAAGTTAATTGAATGTTTACAAAACAAAGGATCCTTCTGCAAAAAGGCTGAGGAATTCTAGGCTGCTGCTACAGTCTGATATTCAGAAATGTACCATGAAATAAGCAAAGGGCTTTGAGCTGACATTAAAAAAAAAAATCTACAATACGCAACATAAAAGATGTGCTAAAAGCTCCATAAAACTACAAAGAAATCATGCCATAGTGACTGCCTGAATAAAGCAGGAGAGAAGAAGTAATCCACTAGCTAAGGCCTTATTTAGTTTGCTTTAGCAATGTCTATAAAGCCTATCGCTTTGTTGTTTTAATGAAGTATGCTAAGACACAGGAGATAAGAAAAGCCAAGACACTGACAAGTCTTGTAAAACTAGGCCACTGTTAAATTAAACATTTTATGAAAAACAGAATCTACCTTGAACAACTCAGAAAACCGCTTTGCTTTTTTCACACAGTCAGCCAGAGAGGGGCACTTGCTCCACTTTACCGTGTTCATGGGGAAAAGCATCAGTTTAGTGAAGTTTCAGCACCCTTCCCCAAGCCAGCAGCTCCATTTACTCTCATAATTAACAACTACTGAATATTTATGAAGTAAGTCTGTACCATAGGGTAACACTTAGCCATTGGATGAACATTCCTGCGGGTCTGAAGGAGCCTGGAAGGTGTTGGCCCTGCATCAGGGCTTTACAATCACAACAGCCACGCTGGATTCAGCGTTTCAGTATTTTCTTCAAGAGAAAGCGAGGCTTACCCCAGGAAAGGGGGATGCTACCAGCAGAGTAAGCATGCTGTATCTATTTATTTCTCCTGTTTTTCAGACAAGCATAGGAGAACATGCTGCGCTGCGTCTCTCTCTCCATCTTGTGAGGAAGCTCTTGAAAAACCCTGGTGACTCCCACAGATGAGTTGAGGCTGAAAGAGCCAGCACGGGCCCTATGACGATACAACTCTAGTGTCAGATCCACTATAGCCAGTGGCTGAAAGTTGTGCCCTTCAAAGTGGTAATAAGATGACCCTTTAGCAGCACTGACGATAAATCTTTAGAAGAGTGTGCCCAGGTGTGTAGGAAGTTTTCTATTGCTGCAGTCTTCAGGGACAGAAAAGGTAACTTTATAAAATGTATGTTTTGGTCATTGGGACCAGTCTCAACGATAAAGCAAAATTGACTAAATTTTTTTCAGCTTAAATTATGAGTGTAAAGGAAAATCTGGTTCAGTTGATTTAGGTTTATTTATGTGTCATTATCAACAGGTGAAGTTCAATATCCAGGGTTGATCACAGCAGTCTCTTCCGGCTTTAAGATCATGACAGAAAGGATAGAGGAGAGGGGACAGCAAAACTGTGGCCTCCAGGCCAGAAAAGTGCACACTAGTCCCATGCTGTTCACTCTTTCTCAGTACTCACTGAAAGTCTTTCCCTGCAAATATTTCTGTATGTGCTTAATTCTATATCAGCTACAGATTTCCCACTGATTTAAATGGAACTATTCCTAATAGGTTAATCTGAGAAATAATCTCAATGATGAAGGAAAACGGACTAAATTGCTTGCAGCATAAAGATGGAGGAAAATGAAAATATGGTTTGGTTTCTTTTGGTTTTAATAATATATCATTTATTTTAGTAGTTAATGCATGAGATTTTAAAATGTTGCTATGCAATTTTTATTTATAGCAGTTACTTCTTTGAGGGACCAAAGAATAGCTGTTGCACGAGAGAACCCACTAGACAAGGATTCATTTAATTATGGTATAACATGTGCAATAAAATATGAAATGCTATCCAAAACTGAAACACTATTCAAACTAATATTTTATTTACCACTTGGCTTTCCTTGTATTGTTTGTCATCTTTGGTTACTGTTTCTTCCATTGAACATGATTTGAAAAGCACATTGGTCACTTTTGCTTTAATATTTCCAGTCAGCTTCATTTCTCTTTGTCATGTGTTACCATAACATGGTAATACTAGGACTGGAAACACTGCCAGGAAATATGCTTATAATTTCTTTGGATCGAAATTTTAAGTCACAATCATTTTTTCCATAGATATTGTATTTTGAAAATGGTATTTCTACAGAATTTTCATTTTGGTCTGAGTTCACCTGATAAATGTAAGTACTTAGACCTGTTAAGTATTTCTTTGAGAAAATTTAAGTAATACAGATTTAAGTAATAATTGCTGCATTAAAAGGCAGTACGAAATGATGATAGAATGGAAAGAGGAAAAAAAGAGGCTTGTGCTGAGTTTTTGAGGACTGAGGAGCACTTCTTGAAAAAATGTCCCAGAAGCAGGAGTCAAACAAAAGAAAACCCTATCCTTCCAATTCAAGTTTGCTTTAAGGAAGACCTGGTTGATGAACATTTTAAAAAGTTTTAAAACAGAGGGTCCCCCAAGACTGTAAGTTTTTGGCCTGCCACAGAAGATTTTAATTGCTCATGGCTGAAATCTGAACCAAATCAACACCTTGTGAAGTCCTACAAGAGTCAATGAGCTCCCAAGAGGCACAGCTGCAGAATTTTGCCACTAAGATTCAATTTTAACCATGACAATGAAATGAATGTGAAGACTCTGAAAATGAGGGACCTTGTGAAAGAAGTAAGCATGGACAAACCGTGCATGCTGGAACCTGGAATTAAGGAAGACTACGGGAGGAGTGGCCAAGGCAGGAAAAGATGAAGATGTAGTTCAGTAGCAGTGGAAAGGGTGCAGAGCTGCCCCACAAATCATTACTTTTCTTCAGAATTTATCACTTGAATTACTGCAGCTCTTTCAGGTACCAGTCATCGCCAGAAAGTCAATGTGCTAGGCACACCCCAACATAATGGGACACTCCCTGCACAAGATGACTTTTTGTGGCAATCCACAGGCTCATCAAATACAAGTCTGTCCTCAACAACATCAAAATGAAGCAAGGCTCCAGGATGTTAGGAAAGGGGGAAAGATGCCACACAAGACCTTTCAAGATGCGTTAGATATGTTGGTAAAGTGGCTTTTCCTCTGTGGAGCTGAGGAACAGCCTTACTGTGAAGAGTTTCAACTGTGAAATAAGTCCAACGTGTGGAAACCCAGCCTTGGAAACTCAGAAACTTTTGGCACAGGGACTGGCATAGAGTCATGCTGCCAAGGGACTAGGTCCAGCCGTTTCCAGTACGGGTATCTGGAATTTTCACAGGCACCAGGGTCATTTTGAGCTAGGTGGGCTTGACTTTCCTTCTGGAAGAAAAGGAAAGGAATAAAAATCTATCCTATCTAATGCAGAAATTGCTGGAGAAAATCTGTAAGAAGTACCTATGTTGCACACTTAATGTATGGAAACTCATTCTAGCCAACTGCAATGCCTTTTGCCCATGTGGCAGATACACTTAAAAGAGTTGTATCTCTAAGTGATTTTGTTTAAGCTGCTGTGCCCACTGTGACGGATAATGGTGTGCAGAATCCTGGTCTCCTGGACCCTGGGCTTTAGCTGGAAATCATGAATGTTCAAGGAACATGAATGATCCAGAGAGAGAAGGCTTTCATGGTTACTGATGGATGAATTTTATCTAACGCTTTAATCACACAATACAACATGTAAATAAGTAATAGTCCAAGACAGATATGATAAGGCAAAATCATATACTACCGGTGTCATGGAAGGTAGCAAAGGATGGTTGTGCAGGAATAGAGCAGGAAAATAAAAATAAACGTAGAAGAAGATAGGTACTTCCACACTAAAGACACACCAACACAAAGATTACCTCCTAGATAGCAATCTTCCCTAACTTACATCAGTGACTAAATTTCAGTAGCGCTTGGGTGCCTGCGGGTGGGCGCCTCTGCATGAACGCAGGTTCAAAAACAAAAAGGGTGCAGAGCTCTGCTTTTATTGCCTTAACACAGTCTACTTTAAGTTAGCCAGGGTAACTGGAGATGATCTGTTAATTTATCTTAATCGACCTAAGGCTACATGGCACGTGTTTCTTCTAATATTTGGCCCACGGAAGGCCAAGGAGGCTCCTTGCCTCTCCTTCGAGGTGCCCGAAATCGCCGGCCGGCCTCGTAGCTGCCGAGGGGGAGGGCATTTCCCCGTGTAAGCGGCAGGGGATGACTTGGGGAGGCTTCAGCGACCGGGGTGAAGCGCTTACCCCGGGTCGGCCCAGGGCCGCCCCCCCGGGCTGGGCTGGGCC